CATGTCTCTGATTCTAGGACCATCAGGAATGGCTTTCCTCAAGGCTGTGTTATTTCCCCTCTGCTCTTCTCCCTGTACACCAACAGCTGCACCTCCAGTCACCAGTCTGTCAAGCTACTGAAGTTTGGGGATCTTACCACCTTTACTGGGCTCATCTCTGGTAGGGATGAATCTGCCTATAGGTGGAGATCGACCATCTGGTGCAGTCAGAGCAGTCTGGAGCTCAGTGCTCTCAAAACAGGAGGAGTCCCACCCTCCCCAATCACCCTGCATGACTTCACAGTCAGCACTGTGGACTCCTTCTGCTTCCTGGGCACCATCATCCCAGGACCTCAAGCTGAACATCACCTCCCTCAGCAAGAAGGCCCAGCAGAGGATGTACTTCCTGCGGCAGTTGAAGAAGTTCAGCCTGCCAAAGTCGATATTGGTGCACTATTTTACCATTTTAAAAATTATATTTTAATATTTTTTCTTTTCTCAATTACCTACTATATGTTGTTTTTATGTTTTATATAAAGCACTTTGAATTACCTTGTTAAAATGTGCTATACAAATAAACTTGCCTTCTACACCGCCATCATTGAGTCCGTCCTCACCTCCTCCATCGCCATCTGGTAGCACCTTATCACCAAAGCAAATTCCTCATACATTTCTGCTTTCATCAGTCAATTTAAAGTGCTCCCACACAAAGTGCTTAATTTCAACACGTTCTCACTCCCAGCCCATCAGATATAGACGCTTAGTCAAGGCCCTTTGGTGTTGCCTTTTAACGACCTGTTAGCAACACTTTGCAATGACAAATAAAGTTGATGGTAAAGTTAACAACAATTAATATGCAATGTCAGGTTAGACTTTCAAAATAAAATGCTAGCGTTTCGAAACATCACCATTTTGAAGCGGTGCGTTATTAAAGTTGTAAAACACTGCAGTTTGGTTAGGTTTAGGCACAGAAAGTACTTTGTTGGGTTTAGGCAGCAAAACTACTTGGTTAAGGTTCGGAAAAGATCATGATTTGGGTTAAAATAACTATGTACATCAGTTAACACGTAAGTTAACTAACGCCACTTATGTCAGTTTACGTAACTTGCCTAAATGAAAATATTTAATGTTGACTTTTTGTTTCACACGGGACATGAACCATAGGTGTCTTTTACACTGGGGACATGTCCCCACAACTTTTTGAAAAGGCTGATTTTGTCACCACCACTATTTTAAAGCACAATTTGTTTACAAACGCTCTGAAATCAGGGTATCCCCAGGATTGTCAAAGTTAAATTTAAAACTTTTTAAGACCTTTTTAATGCCAACTAGAATGAAAATTAATACCAATTTTACTGCCGTATGATGGAAAATCTGTGTGAATTTTAAGCCTGAGAAAATTATTATTGACGTAGTTACCTGAAATTAATTAATACATTCATATTTAACACACTATAGCTTTGTGGGGTGCGTTTGTACTCTGATAAGATAAAATGAATCAAGGACGTGACTTTGTGTTGAAAAGGGGTGGGGACATAGGGGTTCAGATTAGAGGTGTGACGATACACTTAGCTTACATGCACAATGCACAATATTGGGTTCATGAGAACAAGACAAGAAAACACTTTAACACTATTTGATGAAATATTCACTGCTGAAATATATAAATGAGATGATGAAATGAAAATTTTGAACATTAAACACTTAATTTCCTGCATCCTGGAGACATTTTCTGCACAAATTTATGGTAGAATTGTCTTTATTTATATAAAGTGATTCCGGACTGAATATAATGCAGTCCTCAGCAGCTTGTTTTATTTAGCTTAAACTTTTTTTGGACAATGCAAATTTGTTTATTCTATCTTTAAATTGCATTGCATGTTTTGTTATTGTGCAAATAAACCTCTCATTTATTTTCATTTGTTATTTAACATTTCTTGATGCCAAACATTTTTCAGAACATTTTTAACAAATGCTTTAAAAAAGTGATGGAGACATGTCCCCAGCGTCCCCAGTGTAAATGACACTTATGAAATGAATACAATATTTGTGCACTAAGAACACTTAAGGGGTGAAGTCAAAACTCTTCAAGCTCTGCTGTTCAATTAGCGCTCGCCATACTGTGACTGACTCGCACTCTGCTTGTTGTGCTAACCTCAGTGCCACTTAGTGTTGTGTCGTTCAAAGAACATTTCGTTCATTTGACCTAATTGTGTGTATGACTCGGGAGGAACGGGTTGTCTCAGTGAGTGATTCGTTCATTTTCACGCATGCGTGAAGGATCTTGGACTCTTATGTTGACTCGTCACACAGCAGCTGCATGGTCTCCGTCAGCACAGGAAGCAGAACTGATTAGTTCATGACTCTCAACTGTGGGTCTGTTTGAGTCGTTCATTTGTCACGTGACAGCTCGGCTACAGGGCTGTGGTAAGCAGGCAGCACAGGAAACTGAACTGATTAATTCACGGCTCATAGCAACTGTGGGTCTCCAGGTCACGTGACAGCTACTGTGGAGCAGGAA